AAATTGATTTTGTTAGGGAACATGTGAAAGCACTACAGATTCCATGATTTACTATCTGTGAATGATTTAATATCTGTGAATGGTTTCATTTTCTTCTACTAAATTTAACTCAAGACATCTGCATGCATTTAAAAAAAAAAACACTGACAGAGACAAAAAATATTTGGCAAAGCTCTCTTTCAAATGGCCTTGACTATCAGTTATTTCCTGGCCCTCCAAGAAGTTGGTGGGTATGTTGTATTTTTGTCTCTCTTGATAACATGTGTCTAATCCCTCTTATTCAGTATATTTAAGAAGCAGTATCATGCATTCATAAGAATGCTAGGCTAGGACTCAGACAACATGGGCTTACATCCCAGCTTTGCCACTGGAAGGTGCCCTATAAATCATAAAGCACCATAGGACTGTGAGTTGTTTTTGTTTAGTAGTGAGATTATTTTTATGAATAGTAATCAGTGCAGCAATTCCATGTTTTCCATATTTTTTAATGTAGCATTTAACCCCTGACAAGATCTACCATGTAACAGTGATGCCCTGCTATGACAAAAAGTTAGAAGCATCAAGACCAGACTTTTTCAACCAAGAGTACCAAACTAGAGACGTAGACTGTGTAATTACCACAGGTATGGGTAACATTATTATAATATACTTAGCACTTCTCTGAGACCTAATATTTTCACAGGACTTTGCAGTTGTTTCATTTTAGTTGCTAGACTAACAGCATCTCTTCGGTGTCTGGCCTTTCTCAGCACCACTTTCCCATGACATATAGGAAAACAATGCTGTCTTATTACTTTTGAGTGGAATCTCTCTATAACTTAGTTTTCCCATTAAGTTCTTATCCATGTCATACTTATGTGGAATGTGAAGTACTACTATTGGTCCTTTTCCCTAAGAGTTGAACTCTGAATTTGAGGGACTTCCAGGTTTTCAAGAACTTAGCAACTGAACAGTTTGAGCATAACTGGGAGCCTTTGTTCACTCTTTTGGAGCTGGGAAAGCCCTGGCTTTGGCCTCACCACACATCCGGAATAGTGTTCAAAGCATCCCATTTTGAGGAGAATTGATAACGGAAAAAGGTTATGTCACAAGCTGAACAAGAATCAGCCATGCTGTGCTATGTGACAGACAGCAAGCACAATACTCAGAACATATTGGAACATCCCCCTCCCGACTCAGCCCTTGCACACACTTAAATGGCATGTCCATATCTGGACTGCAGGAAAATGAGAAAAAGTTGGAGAGGATTCCAGGAATCCCTAAAAGAGTAGAAAGTGGGGGAAGGTTAAATAATCTGGGGTGTTATCCTAGAAAGCAGAAAACTGAATCAGTCTTCATTATCCAGCCATCTCCTCAGCAAGCATTTATTAAGTGCATACCAGGCCCAGTGCTGGAGATACAAAGACAAAACTAAAAATGGCCTCTGTGTGAAGGAGCTTCTTTTCTGCTTGGACCTAATATAGCAGTCATTCCTGATCAGCTGTTCTCAATTTCCACTGAAAACAAAACTGGAAGAAATTGACTTATACTGCACCTGCAAGGGGACATAGGTATAGGCCTAACCCCACAGTTTTTTCCACGATAATGATGGAGGTAGGGGTGTCAGTAATGGTGTTAAGGAAAAATGTCTTTGGGTTTGTTAAGTGAAGTATTGAGTTACATGGGGAAGCTGTGGATCTCTTTTGGAAGACGTTAAATTTAAAGTTGAGTAGAGTCACATCTGACTAGTTTAGCAGAGAAAGGACTTAATGACTTGTTAGGGTCCTCGCTCTGCTTTCTTGTAGGAACTAGGCCATAAGAACATGTAGGCATCTTTAGTGAACTCACATTATTACTCAGCCTAGGCTTTTCAGTCCTTTTAATTATGTCAGGCTTGTACAGTGTGCCTGTGTCCCCCCATTCTCTCAAGCCCCAACAGTTGTTGTTTGTTTTTGAATGTCTTTTGTGAAATTTATTTCAACTAGATGACTCAGAATTTTAATTGACATGCCAAGTGAAAAAAGAATCTATGTTGTGGTTCTGTTCTAGGGGAAATATTAAGGTTGCTGGAACAAGAGGGAATCTCTTTGTCAGATGTGGATCCAGCCCCTCTGGATGCTGAGTAAGCACAAGTATTTTTTGTTGCTCATTTGTTAAAGCGTCTTCATCGTATCTGCTGGAGTGCATCAGAACCATCACTGAGTGCTCTTACTCACTGTCAAAGTGTTGGGCTCTAGGAGCTGTTATGGCACAAATTAGAAATAAGGAACTTTATTTTGGTGTGTGTCTAGGGTGGCTAATGGTCTAAAGCTGAGCAAATCAGAAGATGAAGTCAGTTTTGGCCCTGGCCAGTCTTTGACTGGTTCATGGCTTCATAGAATGCTAGGATTAGAAAGGACCTGAGGGTAACATGAAGTCCAGCCCCTTTATTTGACAGAGGCAAATGACTTACTCAAGGTCACGTAGCTAGATAGTGGCAAAACCAGACCTGGAACCCACTTCTCCTGATTCCTGGGCCAGTTTTCTTTCCACTATATAGGGCCTTCTGACAGACCAATAGGCATTTGCTGCCAAAAAATCTAAGTCCCCCTTGAAATAGGGATTGTTTCATTCTAAGTACTTGTAGCCCGTGCACTTAACACAGGGCCTGACATATAGCAAGCACTCAGTAAATGCTTTTGATTAACTGATCTCCTGTTCTGCCCTTCCTATCTTTTATTTCTATACAACATCTTCTGTTTCCCTCAGTATCTCTCTATATATTAGGTGAATTTAATTGACTCCAGGCCCATTACCTGATGAGGGAAAAGTTACAAGAAATGTGAGTCTACTTTTGAATGTCCTTTTTTAATCCAAATGCTTAATTCCATGGAACAGACCATGCAGTGATAAATAGCACAGTCCTTTTCCCCTCCCTGGCCATTCCGTTTAGTCAGTCATTTCCTGAGTGTATTGGAATCCTAAATGCACTGATAAAGTCATCTGGGGTCGTTTCAGCCTGCCCCTTTGTGTGTATCATTTGTTTTCAATTTAGCAAAAGCAGGAGCTCTCAAATGTGAAAAACAGATGAGCGGTGATTCAAGTGCTTAAAGTGAAAAGCAGTACCATTGGCTGGACGCCATCCATACAAACAGAGATGGGGCTCAAAAGACTTTGAATAACTTCTAAATTACATGTTTTGCTGCTCTAAATTAGTATCAGCTGTAAATGTACCACATTCGACTAAGCCCATTTCTTTTTAAGTGCACAGAAAATGGCTTTGTAGCCTTGCCTCCTATTTAATCAGTAATACTAGATAGCATGGGACCACAGACAAAGTTGAATTTGGACTCCTCTCTGTGTCCCTGGGCATGCAGATGCAGCATAGCAGAGCTGCCTGGTGGGGGCCCAGAGACCTGGATTTTCTTCCTGCCTCTGGCACTAAGTTTTTGACCTTCAGTCTCCTCTTCTCCCTGGGCCTCAGTTTCCCCATATGTATGAGGACACAGGTTTTGCTTGATGACCTCGAAGGTTCCTTCTGTTCCCTCTCTGACCTGCTAAGCTCAGGGCTTATAAAATGGACTGCAATTTAGCTGCACCACTCAGAACTAGTTGTAGATTTGTTGGGGTTTTTTAAACTTTTTATCAATGTGGATTCATTTTTAAGGAGAAAGAAAAAGTAGCACAAGATAACCTGTTTTGAAATTTTTATCGAGGTATCCTTGGGCTTGCAGAATTCTACCCAAGAGATGGCATTTTAGCCTGAATCACTAAGACTCACACTTGTTTTTGTCATTTAAAACTTTATAAACATGAAGTGGGAGGCAGGGCTTTGACTTGGTATTTAAGGGAAATAACCAGCCTGGATATTTTCATAATGAAAAAAAAAATCTACAAACTATTAATGTGAGAGCCTAATTACATTTTTCCTTTTCTTTTTGGGGGGGGGGGTATGAGGGTTCTTGGGCCTGATAGTCCCTTATTTTCTCATTGTATTAGAGGAAAGACTTGTGGAATTAAGAGTCCAGAAGACTTGGGTTGAGGTCCCCTCTCTAATATTTATTGGCCTCGTGACCTTAAGCAAGTCATTTCACCAGTGAATCTTGGTTTCCTGTCTGTAAAGTTGGGAATATTACTGGTTTTTCTGCATTTCCCACAGGATTATTATGAGGATCAAATAATATGATATATATGTAAAGTACTTTTTAGCTCATGAAGTCCTGTATAAATGTTAAGTAATAATAAATAGCTATCTCCCAAGGTTGTTGTGAGGAAAGCACTCTGTAATTGTAATGAAACACTACGGAAATGTGAGCTTCTCTTATTATAACAGATAGTATCAATGCTTCATTGTGGTGTAGGGATGACCCTGGGTTTTCAAAGGCTATAGCAGCAGAGTAATGGAGAGGCTTCAGGTAACCTTCCAACAGCTGGTCCTTAGGACCAGCTTCATCACTAGTAGATTGGCCACTTGGTGATGAATTCTCTGTCTATGACAGACTGCCTATAACCCAGGAAACAAAGGAAAAAATAAAATAGCCAGTTATCCAGGTACAGCTCCCTCACTACTCCCTTCCACTTCTGCAAAGACAGTAGTAGTACAGTGTCAGAAAGAGAGCAGAGGATGCTAAGAATCACACATAAGTCTGACCCTAACCAGTTACCTAAATATGAGGCTTATAACCGTGACCAACAAGTGAACCACCTACTGGAAGGACTAAATCTTACCCATCTGAATATGATTCACAGTGTAAATGAAACAAGACAAAAGGAAATTGCAGCTAAAAGGGAAGATGGCTCACAAGTTCTTTTTCAAGATTCAAATGAAGAGAAATATTTCAGGGAGTACTGGGTCATTTCATGGTATAGTCCTCATAAGTATTTGCAAAAAAAAAAAGCCATAAAAATCATTGCAACCTGTGGACCAACATCTGCCATTTGAGATAAAGAAATTCTTTTTTTTTTTTGTCTAGGCAGTGGGGTTAAGTGACTTGCCCAGAGTCTCACAGCTAGTAAGTATTTAATGTGTCTGAGGCGTCCTCTTGAATCCAGGGCTGGTGCTCTATCCATTGTGCCACCTAGCTGCCCCGAGGTAGAGAAATTCTATAAAGAATTTGATGATAAGACTTCAAGTTAAATCTGTATTAACTTGATTACTAAATGTCACATAGCTAGTGGCAAAATTAGGACTAGATCCCTATATAGTTGATTCTTGATGATTTCAGTGCAAAGATGAGCATAGGTGAGGATGGCAGAAAACATATTGGAAAATATAGATCAGGAGTAGAAATAAAAGGTCAGAGACCACACAGAAGCCTCACATCTATATCATGGATGCTGTCTTAATGAATGGACTAAGAAGACACTAGATGTGGTGAGCACCAAATCACATTATAAAAAATATGAAACCAGTTTTGCCTTGATGTATAAGAAACAACTCAGTAGTCGTGTGGAGGTTTTTCCTAAATCAGCTATCCATGATGAGTCAGTTTAGTTATATTAGTCGCTCTGATATAGTCAGACTACTGACATGTTAGACTGAAATTTTAAAATACTAAGAGCTCTTGGATTGGACCAAGTATGTACAGAGGAGGTCCATGGTGAAAGTGAGGCAATTTTGAGGACATTAGGGTTGATTCTCAAATTATGAAAAGGGGAAAAATAACAAACTCTTGGGGAAAAAAAATCTTACTCCTTGTTATATTTTTTTAAAGGGCAACCAAAAGATTATCAATAACTACCAATCCATATGCTGACTTTATATTGCCATGTCAATAAAATTTTTGTGAGAATAACCTACATATGCATTGAGGGCATACTTGATGAAGGTTTTTTGGGGGGAATCAGCAAGCTTTCACAATATTGTGCAAGAAGCCACATAGTTATATTTATAGAGTTGAGCGAAAGTTGAGAGAATACAAGATCTCACTGTACTTATTGTTGACTATAAAAAAAATTGACTTGGTAGAGCAATACACTACCTTGAAGATTTTCCTCCAGTAAGGTATATTCCATTTATATCAAAATCATATAAGATTGCCTGACAGATGTAACAACAAAGATAACTTTGTTCAACCCTTATAAATATCAAGCAAAACATAAAATAGAATGATATGCCTGCCAACTATATTTGATGCTGTCATTTAAGGATTCTAGTTGAGAGTCCAAATGAGAATTCCCTACAGATGGTGAGGTCCTCCAGCTATGTCTGTCTATAGGTAACATTGTGCATTTTCATGAAGCCCCATATATTACACAGCCTTTTAAATGAGATCCACGATCATTCAAAAGCATTCCACCTAATCACACAGAAGAATACAAGTAGGTAAAGAACGTCTGTTGTTCAGACTTTGATTTGCAGATAAAGCTGGTCAATACATATGCCTTGAACAGATACTGCAGAAAGACCGCTTACTCCAGGAGGAAAAAGGAAGAGTTGCTTTGCTTTTAAGAAATTAGTTGCTCAGTGCTCCTTATGACGCCAAACTGAAACAGAGGCTCATCCTTTTAACATTAATATTCTTCAGGTGATGCTGTATGGCTGCGAGTTGTGAAATACAATACCTCCAAAGAATTAAAGTTGAGGGTCACCCAAAGGACAATGGGGAGGCATATGGTGAACATACATAGGATACAGTTCATTTAAAATGAAGAATTGTTTGGGAGAAGTAGCATAAAAGATGTTATTGGAGAGAAAAAGATTGACCAGTCACTAAGAAAGAGCAAGGGATGAACAGCCTATCCAGTGGAGCCAGCTCCATTGGTATCCACGCAATGTCAGAAAACCTAAAGGAAGGCCTCCACCAGAGTGGATGGATCCAGGGATTACACTGTGGATTTAGGGGATCACATGGATAAGGGTGTCCCCAGGATGAGCAGGCACAAATGGGCTGTAATCTCCACCACTGCATTGAGCATCCACATGAGAACACAGATCCACTGAAGTCACAGTTAATATTAAACTACAAATAACCCCCAAATCAGTCAACCAGCAAGCATTTCTTAAGCTCTAACCACAGTAAGTGCCAGGCATATCAGTTGTATTTGACTTTAGAGCCCAGGAAAACGTGCAGGTATTGACACACATCCTGTTCCAAGTGTAGCTATCACTGAGCTCAGCCAAAGATCTCCTGGGCCAGAGGCAGCACTGTGGATAATGGAGTACTTGTGACACAATTGTGACTTCCACATTGGTCATCTCTTTTACTCTAAGGAGATCCCAGAGTGTCCACTTCCTGGCTTCAAATCTTTAGCAGTATAAGGCCACTCAGGTAAAGTTACTCAGAGGAACTGACTTGATTTTACCTTAAGGCAGTGACCATTTTCCTTTTACTTTGGCCTTTTAACTTTCTTAAGCCTTGAGACACATCTTCTAGGACAGCTGTAGCACAAATACAAACAGCCCAATGCCTGCTTCTGCTTGGGATTATTTTCACACATGGAAAAAGAGAACAGGGCTCTTCAGTTTGGTTGAGGTATTGGGCTACCGGTGTCAGAACCATGGCTACTGGCATGATCATGGTTGAGTCTGCTTTGGTTCCCTGATGAGGTTACTCCTGGTAGTTCTCCTGGTGGAGACCAGCAGGACGTGATGCTGAACACACTGAAGCATTTACTAATGAATCTCAGTTCCTGTAAACAAGAGCAAGGGAGTTAAAAATAGAAGCTTTGAAGCAGATTCCCAGGCAAAATGTTGCCCTTTGTAGTTCCTCCTAAATGAGTATGTTACTCTGCAGAAGACCAGAGCTTTTGCTTCTGGCACAGAAGCCTCAGCACTGACCAAGAAGGGCAGCGTTGGTTTCTGCACAGCTGTTCTACAGCGACAGCTTTCCAGTTAACCTGTACAGATCCATTGTTATATTCCACATTGAATTTGTTGTTTCTGCTGTGTAAGCCTGAGACCTAAATAGAGGCTAGTATACCTATAAATGAATGAAATGAAATTATGTCCCTGTGGCTATGGAGCATGGAATTGGCTTGGCATGTCTTTAGCAAAAAATTTGTTCTTAATATGCTTCAAAGTTTCTGTGGAACTGATTTAAAGATAAGGAACAAGTTCTAAGTGACTTCAAGGCTTTCTTCCTTCTTAAAGATAGTCTTGTGAAGGGTAGCATGGAATTAGTAAATAGCGGGGAAATAGATAAAGCCAGAAGGCTTGAGTCTCAGCACTGAAACCAGCTGTGTGACCCTGGGAAAATCACCTAGTCTCTCTGAGCCTCAATTACTTCATCTGTCAAATGGAGATAAGTCTTGCACTACCTATTTTAGGATAATATGAGGACAATGCTTTGCAAACCTCTACAGCACTCTACCAATGGCAGCTGCTATCAAGTGATGAATTCACACATAGGATGACCTCTCAAAGCACTTTTTCAGTCTTGTAAATAAGCATCAAAACTACCAGAATACAACCATTTTTCACCAGCTTGCATTCTCCTAAAGATGCTCATGGGATTAATAAAGTCAACGAAGTCTAAATTCACTTCTCCTTGCCTGATACAGTGGGCCACTTTTAAAAAATATTTTACTGGTATCTTTTATTTTTGTATCATCCTCATTTCTGAATATGCCCCTATCCTGCCAGCCATCCCTTGGGACAAAGGATAAAAAAGAAGAAAAAAAATTCATCAAATCTAACCAGCACCCTAGTCATGTCTAACAGTATGTGCAGTATTCCACAACCATAACCCCCCACCTGTGTTAAGGAGGGAGAGAGATTCGTTTTCTGAACTCTTTTCTGGGGCCAGCCTTAATAGCTTTATTTTCACAAGCATTTAGAAATCCTAATATGAGGCACTTTGGTCTTTACTAAGGAGTCAGAAAATAAGGCATTTTGTCTGGCACCATCAACACAGACTCGTTGAATCAGATTTATACTTTTTTATCTCATTGCACAGGAGAATGGGACAGAGTACCTGGAAACCTATCCATGCATGCTTTGATAGGGAAATGGGGCTGTTGATTTGGTATCCAAGCACAGCAGCACCGTGTGCAGTGAGCCCTGGCCAATAGGCCTCAGCGGGCTGCTGAAGCTGAAGGCTCTGAATGTAACGTGATGAACCAGGGGAAAGTCTTCCTTCATTTCTGGCACCAGTGCCCATATGCCTATCTCCCTGCATACTGTGATAAAAGGGTAATGATCCGACTGAGCTATTTGCAGATCTTAGTATTAAAGTGCAGTATATTTGTTCACCCAGTACATTAGACACAAAAAAAGCTTTTGTGCTTCCAGTGTGTGTCCTATAATGAATTTCCCCAAAAACTTACTCTTGCCATTTATGAATGTCCTTTATGCTACATGTTCACTGTTGCTAGGACAAAAATTCCATTGTCAGCAAATGAGCCCCTGGTTAGGACTTTCCATAAGCACTGCACCTATCTGCCACATAGATTCTGCAGGATCAGAAGCCCAGGGCATAATTCTGCTGTCAGAGCTATTTATTTCCACTGAAGCCATCCTGGAAGGCATGGAGCAGCAGGTCGACCAAAAAAAGCCTTTTCCTTGTTACCAGTAGATGGATTCTCTGCCTAAATACAGATTCTTACCCATCTGTGAGCACACGGATCTGTGACTGCGTGTGTGTCGTCAAGCTGGCCATGATCTTTTGTGTCCTCTCTCCCCCAGGTTTAGCTGTGTTTCTGGAGAGGAGCTCCTCGGCCACCAAGGAGGTGGTTCCGGTGGTTATTTAGAGCACATATTCCGATATGCTGCCCAAGAACTCTTTGGAATCCAAGTGGATGGAATCACCTACAAACCCTTGAAGTAAGGCTTTTCAACTACTGTGCAGACAAGAGAACTTGGAAAACTGACTGTGTGAAGTCAATTAACAAGCATTTATCAAGCACCTGCACCGTGCAAATGCAAATGGTACCTGTCCTCAAAAGAGCTGAAATTGTAGGAGACACGTACAGCTTATACACACCCAAGTGAATGCAAACTACATATAAGGTGATTTAGTGAGGAGAGGCAGGAAGCAGGGAGAAATTAGGAAAGGCTGCATGGAGGAGGTGGCATTTTAACTAAGCTTTGAAGGAAACGAGAGATTCCAGGAGCTAGAATTGAGGAGGAAATTCACTCCAGACATGGAAGACAGCTTTACAGAGATAGGAGAGTGGGTGCTTTGTGTGGGAAACAGTAAATTCTGAGGTCAATTTGATTGAACCAAAGACTATGAAAATCATGTGTAATAAGGAAAATATAGGAAAAATAGGCTGGAACCAGGTTGTGAATGGTTCTACATGACTAGTGAATGAGTTTGCATTTGATTCTAGAGGGAAGAGGGAACCACTGGAGTCGACTGAATAATGGGGCTTAGGAGAATGTCATAATCTGACCTGCACTTAATAAGCATAACTTTGGCAGCTAACTAGAGGATGGATTGGAGAGGGGGAGAAGAGGCAATGATTCAGGCTTGAACTAGATGGTAACCACCACTTGAGTGGAGAGGGTGGGGTGAGAGATGCTGTGGAGGTAGAACTGCCAAGATTTGACAGTTGATTGTATTTTTAGAATGGGCAAGAGTGAAGAATTAGAGATGACCCCAAGGTTCTGAATCTGGGCTCTCAACAGATAGGTAAATTCAGAAGATGGATGGGTTTTGGAGAGAAGATTTTTGAGCTGTTTTGGACATTCTGGGTTAAGATGCATGGAGGACATTCAGTTTGAAATGTCCAACTGGCAGCTGGTGATAGAGTACTGAAGTTCAGGAAAGAGACCAGGGGTGGATATGTAGATTTTCAAGTTTTCTACATGGAGATAAGTGAACCCTTAGCAACTGATGAGGTCAACAAGAGTGTTAAAGAGAAAATAGGACAGCACCTTGAAGAACACCCACAAGTAGGGGGACAGAGTGTGTCATGTGGTCAGACACTTGTCCCAGAGAGGTCCCAGAAAGGTTGGTCAACAGTTTTAAATGCTGCAGAAAAGAAGGATGAGGACTGAGAAGATGCCATCAGATTTGTCAGTTAAGAGATATTGGTAACTGGGGAGAGCAGTTCCAATTCAGTGCTGAGGTGAGAAGCCAAATTGCAAGGGATTGAGACCTGAGTGAGAATAAATGAAGTAGAGACAATAAATATAGGCTGCTTTCCCCAGGAGTTTGGCGATAGTTTGAAAAGACAGCAACCAAAATTGGCATCCTCCTCTGACTGTTCATTTAAATCAGCCTGTGTGGCGTGCCTCTCTCCCCTCCTTTCCTTTCCTTCCGGGTTCAAAGCTTGTTGCCAAGAGAAGTGACGAGGACTCTTGATAATTACTTTGTTACCTTCTCCTTCAGTACAAAGCAAGGCTAATCCTTCTACATCAACCAACTCTTCTTGGTTGCCATTCCTTCCTGGGTCCAATTTTCTGCCCAGTTGTACTCTAGTCATGCCACATCTGCTAAGGGAATAGAGCATAAACGTCATAGGATACAACCTTGGGAGTTTGTACCCTATTTGAAAAGCCACAAATTGCCTAATTTCCTTATAAGTCTGCTAAGTCCCCATTCCCCAATCTGTACAGAAGATGGAATATTCTGTATGCAAATATAATTGATTACAAAGTTTCTTACATTCTTACATTTTCTCCTTTTTCATGTCAGAAACAAAGATTTCCAAGAAGTGACGCTAGAAAAAGATGGTACAGTTCTACTTCACTTTGCACTGGCATATGGATTTAGAAACATTCAGAACTTAGTGCAGAAACTCAAGAGAGGAAAGTCTCCATATCACTATGTGGAAGTCATGGCCTGTCCATCAGGTAAAAGATAAAGTTTTACCTCTAACGGGCTAGCATAGCAGCTGTACTGGCCCCTGCAAGACCTAATGATTTCTTATATAAATATAGAAATTTGTTGAAATTAACTTTCGGTGAAGTTAGGATTAGGGAGGGAATAGTAGAATCTGATTTTAATTGGTAGGACTGTGCCTTTCACAGTGACCAGGATGGGGCAGCAGCAAAGTACTGCTGATCCTACTTCCCAGAGTGTTGAAGTAAGCCAATGGTGTTTATCCTGACCCTTCCAGAATCCCGGAAGAACAGAGTTGAGGCCTTTTCTTCATGTTTTGTTCTTTTTGTGGGGGAAATAAGATGAAGGTAGTAGAGTAATGGCTGTTCCGAATCAGTCCTTGATAATTTTGGTGCTTTATTTCACCTTCTTTCTCCCCATATCATCTTTATTTCTCCCTGTAGCATCAAGCCTAGACCTTTGTAGTTCTGAATACCTTTTCAATTGCTGTAATTGCTTCCTCTGGTGTCTTTAAAGTTGAACATCTCATTCCAAATTCATGAGCTTTTCTTTTTCATTTAGGCTGTTTAAATGGTGGTGGTCAGATCAAAGCAGAAGCTATATCCAGTAAGGACCTTCTCCAACAAGTTGAAAAGCTATATGAGATGGTTAGGACTGTAATGCCTGAGACAAGTCCAGAAATCAGAGAATTATATGAACAGTGGCTTAAAGGGGAGACCTCCAAAGAAGCTAGGAAAACATTGCATACACAGTATCACGCGGTAGAGAAGATGAGCTCTGGATTTAACATTAAGTGGTAGAGAAGCAGGGTGTCCCACATGTGATTTCTGCTGAATGAGTAAGAACACCATGAAAATCAAAGGCTGCTGAAGTTGGCTGAGTTTGGCCCCACCGGAAGAAATC